TAACCAATATATCTCTAAAATCAACCACAATTTAATCAAAGCGAACAGGATTGTTAGAATTGTAACGGGGTTACTTGTCGCGAGCGCGCGGATGAACTCGGTCGGGATCAGGACTCGTGAAAAGGTGAGACACACGAAAAGCTTTAGTTATAATGTAGCGTATTTATTCGCCTCTTTCGGCAATGGTCTATTTACAATATGTTTCGTGAAGTTAGCGCGTGGCGGATAATGCAACGCGTTAGATGCAATTCGCGTTCGTTAGTCGGTGCGCGATGTTCGATGTATCGAACCGCTTAAGATATTCGGCGGCGTACGGCGAGGCCGTGTTTATTTTGACGACGCGGGAAACGCGCAAGAAACAGGGCGCGGTCGAGCGGCGCGTGTACGGCAAGGCCGTATTTATTTTGGACATACCGTATTATTCTAATTCGCACTAATTACTTCTGCACTAATTGTAAATAATACTAAAATATTATAAGTTTACGTTTCATTGAAGTAATGATTGTGACCACTATCAATAATATCAATATTACTAAGGATTTAATGTGCAATATTCATAATTTATTTTAATTGTTAATGAACATTACCCCATCGATGTAACATTATTTAAATTTTTTCTCTTCATAAGCTCGAGTACTCTCTCGTATAAGAGATTGGGCGCATCCCTGGCCCACATAAAATCCACGTGATTAAATTTGGGCCACGGTACTTCGTACATATCCACTACGTTGGGCAGTAAATGGTACAACCTCTTCACATCCTTGAAGAAATATTTTTATGAGTTATCGTGCACGATTTTTTTTTTAAACTATCTTCCCGATTCTACGTATGAGAAATTTGATCTATATACAATCGAGTCACTCTATTATGTATTTTCATTATCTGAATACCTATTTTATCGTTACCTACCTCTACGCTAATCAACCAGTCATTGTCAGAGTAAAACAATGCAATTGGTACGGTGATATTCGCTAGATCATAGTCCGGAGGTTCCGTCGAATTGTAGATCAACAGATTTTTCGCGCGACCATAATCGTATTTGCGAAACTTGCCCGATTGGATTTCTTGAACGTAGTGTAATTACCGTTTTAGCCGAGGCTCCGGTCCCAAAATGACTTAGGATGACGGGCAGCAGAGCCTAATAGTAAATAGAAAACAATAAGGATATACATGTATCCAAAGTTCGAAGCTTTGATCGCGATATTCGCGAAATTACTACTCACGTGGTTAAACTGCTCGCGGTCGTAACCCCAGATCATAGACATCACGTTGGAGCAAAGCTCTCCGGTGATGTGTTCGTCGCAGCCGTATTTAAAAAAAAATCTCACTAAATCGGTTTGGAGAAATTCATCGTGGAAGAAAAGCTGCATTATCATCTGTAATCAAAGATCTTTTATTTGTGATGTAATTTACTTGTAATTCTTTTTTTGTTTGTCGAGTTTTAACGATAATATATAATATTATTGTATATTATAATTATATAATTTAAGAATAAATAAATAAATTGTTAAATAATTTTTTTAAAAAGATAAGTCAATTTATAGTTTCTATAAGTTCTTTGAGAATTGTTTTGATCTTAATTTTAACTCATCAAAGAACATCTTAAAATTGAAGTCGAAAATAGGATATATACGGTATAAACAAACATAATGTGAAGCAAGAAAAACAAAGGATAATTATGCAGAAATAAGAAGCCATTCCCGATTTCGACAATTTTGAAATATGTTATCAAGGTCATCACGCTGAGTAATGTTATGAAGTTTTTAGCCAACGCTCATTGTTCATTAAAAAGTTATTAATAAAAAAGTTGACTAAATAAAATGTAATTTTTCTGACACTTTGTACATTTAATAAAGCGTACTTTAGCAGATTCATTTATTTATGCATAGTAAATCAAACGCATGTGCGGGGAGGATCTCCGCTCCTCCCTCTGTACCTTCTCGACGAAAAAATTCTAACCTAATCTAAACTTAATTTTAATTTAATTAGAAACGGGTTTGGGTTAGGTTAGAATTTTTTGGGGGTATGGGTACAGGACTTCGCCCCTTCTCCGCCCACGTTTTCACTTTATAATACACATACATATTCTTATGTACACATGTATGTGATATCAAAAACAAAATAATAATTTTACAAGGATATCATTGTTCCACTAATTGTTCTCAGTAAGAAAGATAAACAAAAACAACTTACTCTCAGTGAACAATGTAATACAGAAACATATAATCTATATACAGCGTCATAGAATTACATACTATTCATTATATTTTCTTTGCTAATAATTTTTTAATAAACAACGAGCTCCGGTTAAAATCTTCACAACATTATTCAAAGTGATGACCTTGATAACATATTTCAAAATTATCGAAATCGGGAATGGCTCCTTATTTCTGCATAATTACCCTTTTATTGTTACTTTTCAAACTTATATGCCATACCATCTAACTTTTATGTTAAATTAGATTATGTAATTTTTATAAACTTTCGCATATTAAAAACTCATAAATTAGCCTATCAAGTTAGAATTGTAAAATTGCATAGTTATAATCACAAGTTATAATCACAAAAAAGATTTGGCCATATTTACTATTATATTAAATGATAAAATTAAGAGAAACGTATTTCTATTTACACTAATAGAATTAGACTAAGAAAATATTTACTTCAAAGTCACATTTAAGAATATTAATTAAAAATAATATATAAACAAATAGTACACTGATATGTTTACACATATCGTGTAAAAATGAGATATAGATAATTATCTTTTATTAATTGTTTCGACAAAAAGATGTTTTGAACAATTTTATTACATGTTAATAAATTATCTTCTAACAGTATCTCTAGTATATTTTTTACTTTACCTTTAGCTCCCTCCTGAAAGGGACCAAGTATTGTATCGGACTTTGCATATGATTTACGAAGACCGCTGGTGCCAAGCTGATCATCATTTGCACCATTCGAGCGATTTCTGGACGCTCTGATGCCATTATGTAAAAAGTTGTTGTACCCATCGAATGACCGATATACGTATGCAACGGTTGCGATTTCATATTTGTAATAAATTTAATCATCGCGGGTAAATCGTAGATGCCCATTTCGTTGAAACTGATGGAAAATTTGATTGATATACCGTAAAATATATAAATACATATAAAAAATAATACAATTGTTCCGTATAAACACCACGAAAATTTTGCGTAAAGAATTATTTATACCAAAAATCAAGAAATAGCAAATGCTTTATCTTAATATAACAAAATATGAGATATCTCGAATACATTGCTTTAAAAGAAACAATGTGTATTTTATTGACATGAAATACCTGTGCGTTTTATGTCTAATTAAATCAGAAATTATAACAATTACGTTATTCCCAATGAATTTATACTATGTATGCGAATACCTGAAATCCCAAAATGTCGAGTCCGACGGAGATAAAGAAATATGCGCTTTCGAATAAATATTACCACGAAAATTGCCTAACCAAACATCGTATCCCTGATCCTCTAATAACTAAAATCCCCCCAAAAATATCCTTTGGAATATTTATTACGTAACTTATAATTGTAAATTATTTTATTAGTGTAAAGAAAAAACAAATAATTGTTTTAAACAATATATTGTAAATAATTACATACTTTTTCTTAAAAACAATTATTTTTTTTA